AACACACAACTGCCTTTCTGTTTACACAAATTTAAATACTAATTCAGATGTTATGAGCCAGAAATTACTGATAACATCAGTAGCCATTTCCCAAGTAATTTCTAATATGATTATTTCATAGTTATCTTGAGTGCAAATGGTGATGTTCTACAATCCCCTGTCTATGACCTGCAGAGGTACTTGACTTTACCTTCCCAAAGGTCATTGGTAAGACAGTGCTAATTAAACAGTTCACAGTGATGGTGTAAGAGTAATGGTGCCTCAGTGTCAGTGTCACCTGGCTCACATTCTTTGTCTGCTACCAAGCAAGTCTCTGCAGATCTGGATGGGGGTCTATTCTTGTCTATTGTTTGCCATTCTGAATAGTCCTTCATCTGTCTTATGCAGCAGTAGCTGCACCCTTCCCAATATAGTTATACCAGCTCACACTATTCAATTGCTGCCTTCTATTGCATTGCCAAAACAAAGCCACAGTAAAGTAACACTGTGGATTTATTTTGCGACACCTTTGATACAGTAGCATATGCAATGTAGTCACCAAACAATCAAGTTGGGCTTTTAGGGAGCTTTACAGTTGTGTTTAAAGTTTAAAATACCTTTCCTTTAATAACAGACAGAATAATCAGCTGCCTGTATATATATATATATATATATATATATATATATATATATATATATATATATATATATATATATATATATATATATATATATATATATATATATATATATATATATATATATATATATATATATATATATATATACAGCATGTCGGTGTTTATTTGGCTGTTTATGAAGTTGCTTTGAGTTGTCTGGAACATTTGGTTTTTTTAGAATTTCTTTGAAGAAAAAATTTAAAATCAGTATTTTGTTCTACTAAGTTATAATTTAATTTTTTTTTTTTTTTTATTAATTTTTATTAGCCTACTATATTTATCTTTTTCTCTAATGGGAGGAGACGTAAACTTTAAAGCACAACTTTAAATAGTATGCACCTTAGTTTCTGCACCTTAATATTTGCACATGACATCATGCAGTTAAATCACCTCAGCAATCTGGATGCTTATTCTAAATATGGCCTACAATTATCTGACCCACCATTGTGTTCCCATCCACCCTGCAGAGAAAGCTAATTCTTTCCTAGAAGGTTAGGCAAACTTTAAATATAGAAAATAAAACTGCACAACGAGCAAGCTCTGAGCTATAGCAACACCCCCAACCTCACACAGCAGCAAAGGAAACAGTGTGCAGGTATTTTATTCTTTCTCGAGGCACACTTAGCCGACTAGCCAATTTGACCAAAAGTCAAAATGTTACAACTCGTTAACCTGTTCAGCCCTGAGGGTTTTACAAGCAATTTCCTTCTAAAATACAGAAATAAATCAGGAAAAGCTCCACCATTATCATGTCTAAAAGCAATGGATTACTACCAGATATTTTTCCAGTGGAACCTCTATCACAGCTGCTACTACGTCTAATTTATATGTGTTTAAACAAAGACAGTTTAATCTTTTTAGCCTTGCCTAGTTTCAACAAAATCACCAGTTAAAAATACACAAATTTGAAAAACCAATAGATGCCTCAGATAAAATTAATTTAACTTTTATTTACATAAAATAATATAACTGCTGAAAATCTAGGACTGAACCAGTTGAGTCATGGCTGATAGCCAGTCATTGTTTCAGGTGAAGCAGTCTTTTTGGAACTATGCCTAAAATAACGTGCTTTTAGCCTCCTAAGCATGATTCTGTTCAAATAAAATAGTTGATTTCTGTTTCTGGACTCCTGACTCTGACAGAACCCTTTGTTAGGGACATTTACTCTATAGATCTGTAAGGTTGTGTGGAGGTTTTTAAGATGACCCAAATGCAGAGACAGAAGCTGAGGTGGTTTCTTGCAGATTTAAAAACAAATGGTGGGAACAGAAGCTTAAATCCAGAAATAACTAATAATGAATACAGGAACCAGAACAAAGGGGAACGCATGGGTCAAGGAGGGAATGAGTAACTGCAGAGGAGGAGATAAATGCCAGACATAACAAAGAATGGATTAATCAACTGATTGGGAGCAGGTGTGGACGGAAGGATCTAGAAGGGAGCCAGGGGAAAGGAAACTGACACAAGAGGGCAACAGAGAGTAAACAAGAAAAATATAACAATTCAAATACAACTAGAAAAAACTTTACAAATAGACATAAAATGGAAATTAAACCAATGACCTAGAAAACAGGGAAATACATGAATGAAAGTGTAACTGAAAACTCAAAAAGAAAACGTATCCAGAACCAAAAATTGCAGAATCATAACAAGATCATTAAATGTGTTCAGAGGGCTTCATGAACACAAGGGACAGGGACAACTACATTCATAACCTAATGTATGCATTACAATTGCAACAACCTGAAGTCTTAAAAAAGACCTACGATAAGTTATTGGTTAGTTATGACTCTTTAGTGGCCAAGGATACCACCCATGTACCGGTAATAGGAACATATCTGTGTCCTGGTGTATTTTTCCTTGAAGTGTCCATGTTTGATGGAGCCTTATATTCCATGTTCTGTCTATAAAGTTCAGTACACACCTTTTTGTGAACCGTATTAGCCACTTGTTTTAGAAGCATTAAAGCCTCCTCCTTCAAGGATTTTGGAAGTAAAAAGGACCATGTAGGCCTTTTTTTAACAGAGCCCTGTGCTGGGCCCAGAGGGTTTAAACAAACAGAGTAATTGTTGTTTAAGTAGGGGCCAAATGGAATAACTTCAGCTCACTCTGAGACAAATAGTTAATCTTCAAACAGTTTTTAAAGCTGATTATTTTATACCTGGCAGAGTGACGGTACTGGTGATGAGAGTATTTCTTTCTTCAGGGCCTGAAGGTGTATGATGGGGTGGAGAAGATTCTAAAGATAGGCTGTCGGCAAATTGCAGAGCAAGGCAGGACGTTTGCAGCTTAAGAGGACAACTTTAATGTTGACTGTCTGGAGGATCAGATGCAAATTTGCAGCACAGCCGATGGCATGAACTGACTCTCAGCTGTCGTAGGGACATCTTTCTTCCTGGTTGTCCTCTCTGGATAGATTAAATGTCCTGAGCTTTTTGGCGATCTGGAGTCCTGCTGACAGACGGACATTCATCCAGCTGCTGGTACAGATTCACACCATGGTTCCATTACACCTTGTCTCTCATTGTTCAGGCAGTGAGAGGAGATCAGAGTTAGGTAGAGACTGAGATGAAGATAAAAAAAAGACTGCATCTTCCTTTAATTTGAAAAGATCAAAGGTTTATATGGATTTCCCATGAATAAGAGAATAGATTCTTAAAAATGCTTTCTGACAAAAGTAAGTTAAAAATCTTTTGTGCTTTTGAACCAAACCAGCAGCTTTGTGTCAAAACTTTTAGCTTTGGGTTGGGACATTCATGGTGTTTACCAAACAGCTCTAAGCTGCTTTTTATGCTTCCTCCTTTAAACCAGCCCCATCCACGCCCTGCAGCCAGGTATACCTCAGGAACCTTCTCAGAAACCCTACGATTTATTATCTATTTTTGAATTAAGATAAGTGTCATGATCCTGGTGCTGGTGACTGGCTTACTTACTCATTTCATTCATCTGCCTAACTGTCTGGTTTCTCATCACTGCTCATCTGATCCACCTACTCCTGCCTCTATTTAAGCTGCTTGCATCTAGTCATCAGGGCCATATTATTCATGTTCTATCTAGCCAGTGGTGAGCATGTTTTTAGAGTACTTTGTTGTTTCTGATTCCCTGATCCTGACCTGTTCTGCCTCTCAACCACTAAGCCTGCCTGTTCACATCTGATCTCAGTGGTGAGAGTGTTTTTAGCGATCCTGAGTGATTCTGAAGACCCGATCCTGACCTGTTCTACCTCTCAACTCCTGAGCCTGCCTGTTCCCATCTGAACGGGTTGCCTGAACTGTATTTGGACCCTTGGACCTCTGAGCCTGCCTGTTCCTGTTCTGCTTTGTTTCCCTGACTTGTCTTTGGACTCCTACTTGTTCTCTGGGGCTTCATGATCTGGGACACTCTGGGCGGTGCCCAACGCATTTTGTTGGCAGCCCAGCAGCTGGATTAGACCTTGTTCTCTGGGCAAGGACTGAACTTGTAAACCAGGTTAGTGACTCACGTTCATAATTTTCCTCCATTAGATTTACGTGGTCACTAACCTGTGTTTCCTCTCTCCAAAGCTTCCTGCCTCAGATGCCCTAGCTGCGGCTACTCAGATCTGCCAGCTCTAAATAAACGCTTTTTGAATATTCCCACTTTCTGTCTTCCCTAAATACTGGGTCCTTCTGTTTTGAGTCATCACACTAAGCTACAGAAGTCGGGACAAAAAACATGTTTTCTACAGATGTGATCTCTGGATTTGATGGGAACATTTTCCACCTGTGGGGAAGTGGGAAAGTGAAACATCCTTTCATCAAGTTTGGTTATTTCCTTTTCGGGGCCTAAATCTGGCCTGGAATGTTCAATCTTTCAGTAGCGAGGTTTCTATTAGTAGGTCTCCATCAGAGATCCCTATCGGTCTCTGAGCTTCAATTTTATAATTTAGGATCATTGGCCAGTCTGATCTGAATTTATCCTAATGAAATAGTTTTAATTCGATTTGTCTCTGATTTGCACTCATAGACTGGGATCTGAGAGAACAAAAGGGTTATTTTACAGCAGGGCCCCTTCCTAGAGATCAGGAAACCTGAACACATTAATTGAAGGAATAATCGCCCTGCAGCTTCATTTATTTCATATATCAATCACCTAAAATTCAGGAACTAGACCAGTTTACCTCCTTTAGCAGGTGGAGTCTGGGATCCTGTCTATCATCCTCCTCCTCAAACAGATGTTTCACCTTTGAGGTTGAAGGACATGCCTGGGGCTCCATATCTTGGGTCAAAGCAGAAGTTAGAGGAGGACAGAGCAGGTTTCTGCAGGACATGTAGCTGTGAGAGAGGATGATTTAACAGTTCTTTCATTTTGTTCTTCTTTCAGGACCCAGAGGAAGACCAGAGGTACTGCAGGAAAATCTTCAACTCATATACTGTAGAAAGATCCAAATCATCCAGGACTCCGAGTTTGATTAATAGTGTTTTTTTGTTTTAGTTAAAGTCAGCTTTTATAATTGTGTTTTGAATCTAAAGTCCTGATTCACCAAAAATAAACTGCAGTCAGTTTTAGCTCCAGACATTGCTCATAATTTGTTGCAGCTACCAGGGTTGCCTCATTAAAAAATGTCCCTCCCCAAATGCATAAAGAATGCATGGTCATGAAAATGAATATAAATTAAAGAAATAAAGAATAAAGAATATGGTTTGGTTGGTCCTCCATTTAACCAGCAACCTTTCCATGAACTGAATGTAGGTCTTCAACAATTGGGTCCTTCAGGTTCTGCTTTGTCCCTGAATCCAGGTGATCTGTCACTAAGTAGACTCTGCAGAACCTCCCCATGTCTTTGGAAAGTAATTCAACCATTTGTAGAAGCAGTGATGTTGCAGGGGCACACCTAAAGCTTGCAGGACACTTTCTCTAGGTTTATTCATAAGACAATCTGTACTGAGAATCAGACTTAGTTCATTGATATGACTTATCGTTGCATATTATCTCATTATCTACTTAGTTTTATCTGTAGTGGTTATGTTTGATTTAGGTCTCGAACTGGTTCTTAGCCATTAAGCCTTTTGTATTTTTAGGAATCCTGCAAATGTTTATTTACTCATGTTCATAAACTGCATTCATAGGTTTGATTGTGTGCTGCTGTACATGTGCCAAAGCCATTTAGTTTCTTTCTAGAAATTCTAAGAAATAAGATTTGGAGTTTAAAAATACTGATGTGTAAAAAGTGTTTTTTTCTTTTTGCTATTGTTGGTGTCTGTTCAAAATAATATACTGTATTTTCATTTATTTTGAATGTAATTAATAAATATCTGTTGTAATTGCCTTTTTTGCTATCCTCTTCTTTAGCAGAAAGATGAAAGCAGCGTTGTAAAATAGGAAAAGCCATGACAGCTGGTGGAGTAACAGCTGTAGGGATGCACACCTGGGGTGGTTTTAACACAACAGATAAATCCACAGATCTGATAGTATTGATAGTGCTTCTCTGCAGCCAGAGAAACACGCAGCTTTTAATCCAACCAATCAAATCAAATAAAAAAAAGCCCTAGTTTCATGGGTGTCCATTTTTCTACAAAATGTTTTGAACTGATCCACTGTTTCATTGACAGGAGAGCACAGAGAAGGAAGGAAAGTCAAGTTGATTTGATGTTTGACCCCCAGGGTCCCATGCCACCATGGCTTCCAGCAGCAGGATAAAGACTCTAAATATTTAAATCAGAGAATGTTCATGCATTAAACTGGCACATCAAGCTTGCTCATTCAACCATTCAAAGCAGCTGTGCTGTAGCAGGAACACATCTAGACTAAGACTCAACTTCATTTACACCTTGGGATTACTCTTTCAGGGAAATCCTGGTTCCAGTAGCTTATATAGAGTACAAAGAGTTAAAACAAGATACAATTCAAGATAAAAAATAAAAAAAATACAACAGACGGTACAAGAAGAGTGTGTTTAGTACCAAAAAGCATAACAAAAATTAAAAAGTAAATAAAATATAGGTTTTCTATCTCATCTGACTGAGCTTTCCATGCATAAGGGATGATGAGTAAAACTAAGGATGGTTGTTTGTTTCAATGATTATAGGAACATAAATGCCGCACTTTTTTATATTTCTAGTCCTAAAACATTTTGGAAAACATACATTGTGTGTCGGTCTATCACTAAAACACCAATAAAATGCATTTACCGGTTTAATATTCCAAAATATGACAACGTTAAAGTGAAATGAACACTTTGGAAATGTATGCATGTGAGCAGAGCGAGGAGCTTTGGTTATGTAGATTCCACGGTTTAATTGGTGCTACATAAATGCACATTCATGGACACTAGTTTGTAATTTATCACACTGTAAATCTCAGTTAACATGGATTTCCTGTAAAATGTTATGAGCCATATTAACAGTAATGATTTCCCTGGTTTTTGGAAGTGATCCAGCTGCTATAAAAAACCATTTCCACCTGTTTCCAGTTTAAAGGCGATCAGAGGCAGATACCAGTGTGTCCATAGAAGGGTTTCATCCACCATTTAGCTGATGAAACGTTGCACTGAGCCTGCTGTGCAGCAGTGACGGCAGGAGCGCTCAGACCTGACCGCAGCCATGAATGCACTGCATCAAACCCCTCAGTGCAGCAGAACACAAACCTCTTCTTCCTCGAAACTGGATCCAGAGGTCTCCGTATCCTCTATTTATATGCAGAGTATATTTACAACAGGGTGGATGATTTGAATGCTAGAAAGTGGTGCAAAGAGAATGTCACAGGGAATCTTTTTCGGGTTATTCTGAGGAGGCATAAAGTTTATCGTAGGTCAGCCTCCTGCTCTGACGTCAAAACAGACTTTTATAGATTTGTTTGAGCTTCTTTCTTTATCCAGCCTCTTTATCCAGTTTGGCTCTCGATGGACAAACATCTCAATGTGGTTGTTAGCGTCCCACAGCGGCACTCCTAACAATGCTGCCATGACGTTTGGCTGAATCCCTGCCTGAGCCTTTGCCTTTTTTACATTGGGATAACATGTTCTCCTGGTCCATGCATGCTTTTTTTTTTCCAGCAGTCGGTTAACTGGTCTATCCAGCAGGTTTGAAGAGTGTCTGTAATCCTGTGATGGACATGCAACATCTCAAGGGTAACCCTCTCCCAATGATTCCTGGGACCTCACATGGATAAACAGGGACAGACAAAGGACACCTCTGTGATTACTGGGGGTGTCCTTTTTTCACCACTTGTTTCTTTTCCCTGGCTTAAGATTATAGTCAGAAATCAGTCCCTGAGGTGATACATGTTAGTTTTTAAGGAGTCATAACCGGGTCAAGCTTTTGCTGGAGTCTGAAAAAACCCAGGAGGATTTTCAACCAGCACCAGAGCCCTGTGCACTTCAAACTGCCAATCTGGTTCACCCTAAAAACAGAACACCCAGAAACAAGGCAGACGGGTTTTACAGCGTTCAGTGTAGTGAAGAGTACAAAGACATTGGAAAGAAAAAACAACTGCTTCATAGACACATCACTTAACAGACAAGGGCCACCTCCTCAGGACACGACTCAGCCGTTCACATACACCTGAACGCTAAACAAAACTCGTTTTTGGACAACAACGTCCATATTCTGGCCAAGGAAGAAAGATGATTTGAGCGTGGGGTTAAGGAAGCCATCTTTTTTAACCTGGAAAAATCATCTCTCAACAGAGGAAGTGGTCTTAGACATAACCTTTCACATACTTCCAAAGCACTTTTAGAAGCAATGCACAGAAGATTCACCTCTCACCCGCCCTCACCTGACTCATACTTCAATGAGGCATGTGACCAAATCCCCTCTGACAAGGGAGTTAACAAGCCGTCAGAACCCTTTAATGACCTTTAACACGCCCCATGTGAGTACCATGGCCGAGTCTGTGGGAGCTAGCTAATTATTTGATAGGCCTACAGTATATTATAGGTATAGAGGACGATCTTTTATTTCCAAGTGGATCATCTTAATAAGTGGTCCTTCTAATTGTCAATCATTCTGGTGATATGTTTATGTAAGGCGGTCCTACTTGCTCATCCCGCTAGCTTTCTTTTTCTGCGCATGCGCACTTTTACTTTCATAGTGTGGTGAGCTACGTTTTCAGCCAGTCAATAAAGCTCACTGTGTTTCTTTTAAAAGGGCCATAAGAGAAAAAGTGACGAATTGTATGAGAAGAAAAAAAAAGGCCTCAGAAGAGGCAAATATATGCTTTGCGCGGAGAGCTCTCCGCACAAAGCATAATGGGATTTGTTGTCACAGCGGCCCGACCAACGGCGAAGTGTTCATACGTATGAACGGTAAGTTGACTGAGTTAACTATAAACGCCCCGCTCTATATAGTGATTGAGGGATTTAGGGGTCAGGGTGGACGTTCGGACTTAACTGAACCTTTCAAGCCTGACCATGACCTGGAAATCTGACTTCTGTTTATCTGCGTGTTGATGTGGGGTTATTATTAGCAATAATAGCAGTTGGTCATGGTGGGTTTACCATCTTCTCTTAGTATCCTTGTGGATACTAACAGAAGTATTTAAAATGACTCAAAGGAAAACTTTCCTTTTCTTTCTCCTTCGAGATGTTCTCTGGACTGGAACCCATTTTGTTAGTCATTAATTAGTAGTAATCAGTTGTTGAGTGTGTCTCCTCCTGGTGGTTGGGAGCACTTTTGGCGCTAGTTTGCAGCTTGTCTTTCGCATGTAGTTTTTGTGCTTGCAGCAGCATTTTTGTTTTCATGTTTCTACTTTGCTGCCACATATTTTCTCGAATTGCACCGTTTTTGTTTTGCAACATTTTACCCAAGCATATGTTTTTAGTCTTTGCATGTTCATCCAATTTTTCTGTTTGCTGGACCTTTCAAATTTGCTGTGAAATCATGTTTTGACATTGCCATAGTTTGTACACAGTTGTGAACATTTTGGATTTAAATTACATTTGTTGGGAAGCTGAATTACAAGTATGGATGGACAGATGGATAAGTATGGATTGATGCTGTCAAAGATTAAATCTCAGGGAGGAAAATGGGTAAAAACACATTGTAATAATAAGAGGCAACCAAGATTAGTAAAACAAGAGAAAGTAGAGATTAGCTGTTACTTAGTGGATAGAAAAGTTGTCCTTCTATCAGACACATTAATATGTTCTTACCTGCTGATGTGAGAATGGGTTTAGGTGAATGAGACTTAAAAGGTAAAATCACTTTAAGTGGTTAAAGGAATTAAAGAGAGCTATAGAGGTGTAGTTTGTTCTCCAATTAACTGTATGTGGGGCTGCTCTAGATGAAGGCACAGGATCTGCTCCGGCTTTGTATCCATCCATCATGAGATCATTAGTGGCGGCTGTCATCATAAGCTTTCCCCTGGATGAAGAGTTGATCCTGGGCGTCTGAGCCTGGCTTCTCCATCTGTTTACCTTGGACTCTCATTAAAAGCATGACATGTCTTTCATGTCTGTATTAAAAGGAAACCTAATGGCTGCATTAATGTTACACTTGAGAACAACAACAGGCATGTTTAGCAGCTGTTTGGATCCTTCGTTTGATTTATCAATCAATTTTAGGAGGGTTACTTACCAGTTGAGTCCTCTTCTTCTGCGCCTTCTCCTTAAAGGAAGAAATAAATGAAACTCTGGAGAGTGCTGATTATCACTGTAGCTGCACCATTTGGAAAATGCCCCGCATGTATTTTTGGAAGGATAAGTTAGGAGGCCAGGATTTATTTAGAGGATGCAGTGAAAAGTGTGATACAGAATGCCTGAATGCAAGCGGCATGTGTGCTATCTGGCCCACCCATCAGGAAGGTAGCAGAGCTGCTGCCCTAAAAACACCTCTGTGCCCAATCTATCCAGTGTTTTTTTCCCTCACCTACAATTTGTAGGAGATTCTGAAGAAATGTTTTGAATTCAAATTGTCCATGCAACATTTCTAAAGTGCAAAAGTGTCAATCTAACTAACTCTTATGATCTTAAAAGTGATATTCTGCAAGATAATTGCATCTGTTAAAACTACTTCTTATATAGCATGCATTCAAAAAGTTATACCAGGTGCAATTGGGAGATTATTGCATTCATTTAAAGTAGTAGAAATTAATAATCTAAAAGAATCTGCTCTTGGTTTGTATATCACTCCCAAAAGAAGATCAAGTAGACTTTTCGGTTAGATTGAAGACTTGGAAACTTTTTAGAGTTAAGCCAGCAAAGAAACAGCAGATTGATCAGGCAATAAATGTTTCTTAATTTTAGATTTGTTTAATCATTAAAATCTAATTATGTTCCACGTAATCAAGCAAAGCTGAACTTTGATAACTGAAGCACAAAACTTTAGTATCAGACTGAATCGTAAAGATGATCCTTAAAAGATTCCTCAGTATTTTTATCTGAACATGACCTTATACCTGGAGGGCAGATTATCATCTTCTCCATGAATGACTTCCTCATTTCTACATGCTGTGTTCTGTTAATATCAATACACATGAAAGGTTTTCAAGCATTATTCCTGAGATACAGCCACATCCTTAACATCATTGTTAGAAGTAGGGTTTAACACTATTAACACACAACTAACCCAGAATTTACCCTCTGTGGGATAATAAATGTTCCCGAGGTGCAAAATTATTTCTTTCTCTGATCGCAAAAGCTGTAGATGTTTAGACAGTTACAGTCGGCAGCTCCTCATTGTCTCTAAATCCAAGTGGAGATCGTGGATGTCAGGCAGGCCTCCTCTCTTTCAGAGTTGAAGTGTCTTCTTAAAACACACCTATTTGCTGAGGCATTTTGAAAATGTTGAGAGCTTTACCCTATTTCATTTTTTTAATTACTTTTAATTTTTTAACTCTTAATCTCTATTCTAGCTGTCTGTATTTTGCTTTTCTATTTGAATTTCACTGTTGCTTTCAAATATATGTACAGTACTTTGATGACCTCTGTTATTTTAAAAGTGCTTTATAAGGGTGTTGTACAGTGACCAAGTGGTTAGCGTGCACAAACCCATGTGCAGAAGCCTTAGTGCTTGATGTTGCCGACTTGGGTTTGAAAAGAGGTATGCCATGCTAAACAGTCAAAAATACAGCTAACCCTCTGTCAGATTAAGCAATGTACTGTAGTTTTTGGCTAAATATAGAGTCTGCCCTTTCAGCACGGCTGGATACATATTTGCAGAAAAAATATTATGGCCCCTAAATATCCTACAATCAAAAGATTGGGAAGAACTCATGGAAAGACATTGATGTCATTCTTGGATGACATGAAGAGGCACTGAAAATGTTGAGAACACTGTGTTTTCCACTTCTATTTGTCATGTATAGTTGTTACCTTGCTGTCCCCTACGTTGACCTCCGAGAGTCAGCCAAGCTATTATGATACTGTAAAACTCTGTTTTTGACAAACCAATGAAAAAGTTACTTGTTCAGTCCTCTAGTCAGGATGCATTAACCCATTAGAGGGCACTGGTGCCTAGCAGTTTAACAAGGCACTGCAGTTGCAAATCAATAAAACAAAAGTTCTTAGTATAAAACCCCCAGGAAACTGAAGATGAATGATCTCCAGCCCATACAGTTAATAAAAGGGTCAATTAGATAAAAAATAAAGGAGAAACAGTCCGGAGCAATATTTTATGTATTTTAAATATCTATTATACATTTCACTAATCACTCAGCAATGTAATAAAGATGGTAATAAACTTTGTTTACTTAGTTTATTTACCAGTTTTATTTCCACACTACCCCTTTTAGTGAAGAGGAGAGGGGGTTTAGTGTGTTTGAAGCAGCTCTTTTTCAGACTTGTCCAATGGCCTTTCTTAAATTAGCCATGGGGGCTGGGGGCTCCCTCCCCATGCTGACAGAAGGAGGAGTCAGTGCTTGTCACTGTCTACTGTTTCATTCTTACCTGCACAGCCCTGCAGCCTTCCCACCACTTGTGCCTCTGTGTGGCCACACAGACCCAAGGAGACTGAGAGGCACAGACAAACAGAGCAAGTTTCCTTTTTCTATCTTTTTTGTTTGTTTGTTTCATCCAGGGGAGGATTTTGTGATAATTGAGCTGCGGGTGCAACTGGCAGAGGATATGGCTGGTTGTCTGCAAAGTTCCCAGCTTTGCAAAAAGTGGGAATTTCTTAAATGGTTGATCTTTGCTGTGTGTCTCAGCTCATGTCTGGGGTCAGTGCTCTCAGAGCCGTTTGATCCCAGTCACCTCTTCTACCACAAATCTGGACCTAATGAGAACGACATAATCATCGCCAATAATGGGATCCGGGTACCCTTCGGGAGGTCAGTGTTTTTGGACCCTGTGAATGACCTGATTACAGAAGTGCAGCCTGGTGACCGCTGCCACATAACGGTTTTGGACAATGACCCAGTGACCCAGAAACCTGGGATGTTGACCCCGAAAAAGTTTCCCTGTTCATTTGGAGCAGATGAAGTCAAGTACACTCACTTTGGATCTCGGAGCCCCAGCAGGGATCGTGTAAAGATGCAGCTTCGCTATGACTCCCACACAGACACAGTTATCGTCCCATTCATGCTGGAAGTGGAAGTGGTTTTCCAGCAGCTCGAGATACTCATCAGGAATATGCCCCTCAACGTGGAGAAACTCAATGGGGACAGCAGCCCGATTGACAAAAAGGCTCTGGAGTTTTCCTTCGAGGATGGGGTCACACAGTGTAAGATCACAGTGCTGGCCGGTGCTGGAGGTCTACCCAGGTACGGCACGCTCTTGAAAAGTCCTCCCAGTGGCCAAATGGTTGATTGTGAAGAGTTTGTAAATCTGGGTGTTCGCTACAAACACACAGCTAAAACCAAGTCACCGAACAGAGACTATATCCCAATGATGGTAGAGCTGCAGGATAACGAGGGCAACACAATAATGCAGGAGCATTTTCAAACAATGGTCAGAATCAGAGAAGGTGCAGAGAACGCTGCTCCCAAACCCAGTTTTGTAGCCATGATGATGATGGAGGTTGATCAGTTTGTGATGACGGCTATAACGAATGACATGTTGGCGGCTGAAGATGTTGAATCTGATCTGGATGATTTGATTTTCAACATCACTTCACCTCTGAATCCTCAGCAAGGTTATGTCATCAGCACAGATGACCAGAACCTCCCCATCACCTCCTTCAACCAGAGGGACATCAGAGAGTTAAAAATAGCTTACAAGCCACCCTCAGAGGACTCGGATCAAGAGAGGATTTTCCAGTTGGAGTTTGAAATCATAGATAGTGATGGTGCTGTCTCCGACACATTTGCCTTTATGATTGTGGTGAAACCTATGAACACTTTAGCTCCAGTTGCAACCAAAAATACAGGCCAGCTCTTATTTGAAGGTCAATCCCGAGCTCTGTCCAGCTCACAGAATTTGGAAATCAGTGACGAGGATAACTTGGAAGATGTGAGGATCACTGTTGTCGATGGTCTGAAGCACGGGGACCTCACCGTGCTTGGGGTGCACAGGAAATATTTCACGCCGTCAGATCTAGACGCTGGCATTGTTGTGTACCAGCATGACGGTAGCGACACCTACAGCGACAACATCATCCTAAGAATGACTGATGGGAGAAATGATGTGGAATTTTTGTTTCCCATCACTATTGTTCCCACCGATGATGAGCCCCCTATAATTAACGCTAACACTGGCCTGGTGCTGTCAAAGAATGAAATGATGCAGATCTCTCCCTTCATCCTGAGTGCCACAGATATCGACTCGGATGACTTGTTTATAAAGTTCATTCTTGAAGCACCGTACTCGACTGTAGGGGAGCTCCTGCTCAGGCAGGTCGACCCCCCCGCTGACCCCTCTCAGTGGAAGTTCAGTGAGACAGATGAGATGTTTGAGCAGGTGGTAACTGAGTGGTCTCAGAAGGATATTCTCGATGGAAAGCTGTTCTACCATCACATTGGACCCCACATCACCACCACAGTAACAGATGAGTTTGTTTTTCGTGTTCAGGATGACAATGACCCTCCTAATCAGTCAGGTGAGCACACCTTCACCATTAAAATCCTCCCCATTGATGACCTTCCCCCAGAGCTGTCTCCGGGCACCACGCTTCAAATGACTGTCCAGGAATATCAGCTTACATTCTTCAGGAAGAAATTCTTGTGTTATACTGATCTGGATTCAGAAGACAGAGACCTGAAATACACAATTATCAAAAGGCCAACTGATACAGATGACAACAATCCAGCCCCTTTAGGTCAGATTGTGCTGACCGACAGCCCTGATACTATTATTACAGAGTTTACACAAGCCCAGGTTAATCACCACAAAGTGGCTTACAAGCCTCCAGACCTGGAATTAGGCATCACACCAAAAGTAGCTCAGTTTACATTCATTGTGGAGGACACAGCTGGTAACTCAGCAGATGGATTATTTACAATTTTTCTCCAGCCAGTTGACAATAAACCCCCAGAAATTATTAACACAGGGTTTACTGTCATGGAAAGAAGTTCTTTTACCATTACCATTAAGGAGCTGTATGCTTCTGACACGGACACAGATGATGAAAATATCATCTTCACTTTGACCCAGGCTCCCATATATGGACAGCTGCATTATTTAGGTATTCAAATGTCAAACGGAGAAACATTCAATCTCCAAGATATTGAAAATGGCCGCTTGACTTACGTCCATGATGGAGAGGAGTCAGTAAGTGATGTAATCAAGCTTGATGTGAGCGATGGTTTCCATGAGGTGCCCATCACTCTTAGGGTCACCATAGAGCTAGTTGATAATGAGACTCCGACTATCATGCTCCCAGCTGGCGTGCTGGGAGCCGCCATCGATGTGTTGGAGAACGGAGCAACAGAGATCACCAATAATATCATTCAAGGGCGTGATAAAGACACGGATGACCTGATGCTTACTTTCATTGTGGAGGAACCTCCGAAGCTGGGTGAAATCCTTGTTAATGTTGCTCCAGCTGAGAGGTTCACCCAAGAGGACCTTATCAATGGACTGGTTGTGTATGCTCACACTTCTGGTGAAATTGGTCCAATTAAAGTACACGACTCCTTCAACCTAACTCTGTCTGATATGTCTGATCAGTGGGTTGTAGGTGGCAACAAAGTCCAGGGTGTAACTGTTCATGTGACCATTCTTCCTGTTGACAGCATTCCCCCTATCGTCAGAGTTGGGGAGCAATTAATTGTGGTGGAAGGGGAGAAGAATGTCATTACCATAAATCACATCCAAGCTGAGGATGTTGACACAAACAATGACGACATCCTATGCACAATTATTGTCCAACCAACATTTGGTTATGTGGAAAATATTTCCCCAGCCACAGGATCTGAGAAATCCCGAACTGGTACTGCCATCACTGCATTTACAATTAAAGATATAACTCTAGGTCACATCTACTATGTCCAAAGTATCCACAAAGGAGTTGAACCTGTAGAGGATCAGTTAATATTCCGCTGCTCTGATGGTATCAACTTTTCTGAACGCCACTCCCTCAACATCATCGTCATCCCAGCCAATGATGAGAAACCAGAGATTTTTACCCGGGAGTTTGTGGTAATGGAAGGCATGAATATTGTTATTGACACGCAGCTACTGAGCGCTGCTGATGATGACCTCCCTAAGGATGAGCTGTTCTTTGAGATCATCAAAAACCCCAAGCATGGTGCAATCATCCAACAGCTAAGCACTGGCACCATCCCTGTAGAAAAGTTTAACTTGGAACAGATAAACGAAGAAGCCAATATTGTCTATGAACACGATGACTCAGAGACTAAAGAAGACAGCTTCGAGGTCAGGCTTTCTGATGGAAAACACACTGTGGATAAAACTGTTCTCATCATCGTCATTCCTGTTGATGATGAGACTCCAAGAATGGCCATAAACGATGGTCTTGATGTAGAGATTGGGGAGACTAAGATCATCAGTAACAAGGCTTTAAAAGCGACAGACCTTGACTCTGAAGATAAAGAGTTAACATATGTTGTGCGATACGGACCTGGGCAGGGCTACCTTCAGCGTATCAGCAAATTCGGTGTTGTTTTAGGAAATATTACTCTGGGGATGAATTTCACACAGGATGAAGTAGACAAGCAGCTCATTCAGTATGTACACACAGGCCAAGAGGGAATACGTGACCTGCTGAAATTTGACGTCACAGATGGTATCAATCCCCTCATCGACCGCTACTTTTACATCAACATTGGAAGCATTGACATGGTGTTCCCAGATGTTATCAACAAAGGTGTGACTCTCAAAGAAGGCGGGAAAGTAACCCTCACCACTGACCTCCTGAGCACATCTGACATCAACAGTCCTGATGAGTATCTCAGCTTTAGCATTACAAGAGCTCCCAGCCGGGGGCATTTAGAGTGCACTGACCTCCCAGGTGTTCCTATTTCTACCTTTACACAACTGCAGCTGGCCGGCAATAAGATCTATTACATACACACCTCAGAAGATGAGGTGAAGATGGACAGCTTTGAGTTTGAGGTAACTGATGGCTACAACCCTGTCTTCCGAACCTTCAGAGTGTCCATCACTGATGTGGATAACAAGAAACCTGTGGTCACTGTACACAAGCTGGTTGTTGAAGAGGGAGAAGTAAAGCTCATTACACCCTTTGAGCTATCAGCTGACGATCGAGACACGCCAGACAACCTCCTGCGCTTCACCGTCACACAGCTACCTGTGCACGGCCAGCTGCTGTTCAACAACACCCGGCCTATCACAACCTTCACCAAACAGGATCTGAATGAGAATCTCATTAGCTACAAACACGATGGCACAGAGACCAACGAAGACAGCTTTTCTTTCATTGTCACAGATGGCACCCACACTGACTTCTACATCTTTCCTGACACTGTGTATGAAACTCGCAAACCTCAAACGATGACCATCCACATAAACACAGTGGACAATGGTATGCCCCAGATTGTGGTCAACAAAGCTGCTGCTTCATTAAAAGTCCTCCAAACAGGACACCTGGGCTTTGTTTTCACCAGTAAAGTCCTTAGATCAGAGGACAGAGACAGTCCCCAGAGGGTCCTGAAGTACACCGTGTCTGAGCCGCCGCTGCATGGCTTCATTATGAACATGGAGCTGGGAAACCATAGCATCCAGACCTTCACTCAAGGTAAGCAAGCAGCAATTGCACACAATTTCAGGCCATTAGGCTGAGTATCTGCATGTTTTTTGAACATTTCAGATTCTCAGGTTCAGCACATTTGTGTAAAATGGTTAGATAATTATCAGGCCTTTGCAAAACATCTAAAGTCTAAAGAAAGAAGAATTTAATTTTATAGATAAGCAATGAATCACTACAATTTTACAGTATTTAAAGACATAAATCTGATTCCATATGCCAATGTTTAAAATCAGATCTTTCTGAAGAGCAAAGGTTAACCATAGTATCACACTTCCATTTTTCAGCTTAGGTTGGATTTTATTAATTTATGTTTATTAATTTATGTCTAAATTTTCACACAAAAAATCCATAGTAAAATAGCATGTTTATATCCACAAATACCAACAAAAAAATCTCATTAATATTCAACATGACAGCTACTGGCAGGGGTCACACATGTTCAGACTTTTGCAACATCGTTAGTAATGGTGCTTCTTATCTTTTATGCAAATATGCAAAAACAACTCTGAACAAAAACCTGTTCAACACAGAGCAACCCTTAAGACTTAATATAGATGATAAACAAACAGCTAAAATTGTGACATAAAATATGCTTAGAATTTCAGATGTTCATCAGATTTATTTCACAGATAACGTTAAACTCTGCAGAAAATGAGGAGATGTGAGGAAAAATGTGAGTTTGCTTTCTGACATGTTAATGAAATACCTAAAATGTTAAATTACCTTAATAATTTTCATGAGATGAAACAAACTGCATTATAGCATATGGGCATAATTAAAAATAGTCAGAATTGTTGTTGGTTACACAATATTAAGTTATGAAACACAATCCCAGATTTAAAAATCAAAGACCAACATATTTAAAACTTTTTGAAATTATTGTTGCCCAGAAATGTTATTATTTCATCCAAATTATTGGATTTCTCCATTTATCACAACAGCTGAGATCAACGACTTGAAGATCTGTTATGTGCTGTTGGACGGGAGCAACGCCACAAGTGACATCTTCTATTTCACCGTCGAGGACAATGGTAAGACCGTTTATTTCTGATCAGCTAAAATAAATTATTTACCAGGTGGTTTACTTTCCCCTTAAAGCTGCTAAATATATAGAAGTTCTACTTCTGTCATGCACAAGCCTTGGCATCACAAAGACTTAGGGCAGCTGGCCATGACTGATGATAGCAGCGGGGTGCTGCAGGTTCAAAGACCCACAAAAAGCTTCTACTGCACATGAGACATGAAAGACTGCCATGTCCATGAACAACAGGCTAGTTTTCCTCCCGGAGTTTCTTAGAGCTTTTAAAATGCCTTTAAAACATTTACTTACACCTATAGTTCATTCCAAGAATGAGAGGTTATTACTTTATATGTTGTTATTGTCTGTTTTTGCTAGAGAAAATTGAAAAATACAAATCTCTACGATGAATGAGATGTCAAACATCCTCCACCCATCCATCCATCTTTCCATCTGTCATTCCTTCATCCATCCATCATTCATCCATCTTTCCATCTGTCATCCATCCTCCAGTGTTTTATTCTTTTCCAGCTTCTTATTTTCATTACACTGTCACAAGCACAGAGCAACAAAATTAACTATCTGCATTTAACCCATCCCATTGGGGAGCAGTGGTCTGCCATTGTGCGGCACCGGGGGAGCAGTGTGGGGTTAAGGGTCTTTGCTCAGGAACCCAGAGTGGCAGACTGTTGGAGTGGGGATGAAACTCAGAACTTCAAGATACCAAACACAATACCCTAACTAACTACTAGCCCTAACCATTCATCATCCATCCGTCATCCATCCATCCATCCATCCATCCATCCATCCCTCATCCATCCATCCCTCATCCATCCATCCATCCATCCATCATCATCATCATCCATCCATCCGTCATCCATCCATCCATCCATCCATCCATCCATCCATCATCCATCCATCCATCCATCCATCCCTCATCCATCATCCATCCATCCATCCATCCATCCATCATCATCCATCCATCCATCCATCCATCCATCCATCATCATCCATCCATCCATCATCCATCTGTCATCATCCATCCATCTATTTATCAATCATCCATCCATCATCATCATCATCCAACCATCATCCATCCATCATCATCATCATCCAACCATCATCCATCCAACCACACACCCACCCATCTATCGTTCCATTCGTCCATCCATCCATCCATCCATCCATCCATGCAACTAACCATCCATCCAACCATCATCCATCTATCTATCCATTCATCCATCCATCTATCCACCCGTTCATCCACCCATCCATTCATACATCCACCCATCCAAATTTCCCTGAAGGCTCACTACAGGTGGTGTTTATCCCCAGCAGTCACTGGGTGAGACAGGAGGAAGCACTCTAAGAGCGTAAAACAAAGACACACAGGACAGACATCAATCACTCAAACTCCTGAACATGAGGGGAATTTAGAGTACAATAACAGCCAGGTTTTATTGTGCAATAATACAATTCCAAAAATAAAACCAGTTTTCCTTTTAGTAAGACAAAAGTACCAAAAGTTACACTGGAGCATCCTGTAAGGATCAAGCTGGTGGATTAATCCTGGAAAGTTTTAAAAACGTCTGTGTTGACGGATGTGGCTGCATCCTGGTTCCTGGACATGTAGCAGCATGCAGCTGCAGAGCATCCTAATGGTCACACTATCTCCAGATAAATCTCAGCAGATGAGCTGTTTGTTTGAGGGTAAAACTCCAGGTCAGGAGAGATTTGCACCGAAGATAATCCACCCAGTTTGGCCTTTAGGTAACAAACTCTTCATCCAGTGTACTGGATGCCAGTCTAATTTTGATTATCCTTAATTGTGAATGAATTTGTTAGATATTATCTTTTTTTACTTAGATAAAATATTATTCATTTTTCTTTATCAAACGTTTTTCTGTCTCAAACAACTAAAAAGAATAAAACCATATGAAAACATTGCATGTTTACCATTATTTATAAAACATTTGTTGGAAACAATGATGGCTGTAAAGGTTATTCTTTTTGAATAACAGAGTTATTCTAGATGCTGCATGTCTATCCATCCCGGACGTCACAATTTCATCCCAACATCCTTCAGCTAGTAAATCCTAAACCCATTAGTTCATTATGTTTTGTTTATACATCAGGGTGGCAGTGGGGCTGGTGTCTATCTTTGGCAGCATATTATGGGGTTTAATCGGTCCACCATAGTACATGGGGGAGAGGTGGGGTTCACTCTGTATTGGTCGCCAGTCACAGGGCAACACAGAGATATAGAGACACACACAACCATGCCCACACACACACCTACACACACACACACAAACACCTAAGGACAATTTAGAGAACCCAGTTAAGCTAACAGTCAGGATTTTGGACTATAAGGGGTAGTACCCAGAGAGAACCCTTGCATGCACAGAGAGAACTTGCAAACTCCATTCACAAAGAACCTAGACTGGGAATCAAACTCTTAATTATGGAAATAATTGATAACACATCACATAATATATGCATTTCTGAAGATTTAATATCATATCTTGATTTATTTTAATGGTAATTGAATCACTTTTGGAATATCTAAGACCATTGCCACTACTTAGAATAACTCTTATTTGCAATGATCTAAGTAGATCTGAAAAGCTGATCTGACAGAAATTGACAATGTTTCCTGAATTATCTCTCATCTGTCCGTTCACAATCATAGCTGAAGTAGGTGTAGACAGAGCTGTTGTTACTGAAATGTTGTAAATTATTTTGCAGTAAAAGATGAGTTATTGTTTCCCTCCTCATTGAATAGCGGCAGTGACCTCAAACAGCCTGCAGTTCATTTCGGGTCTGTCCCTCTGTCTGCTGGGAAAGCAATAACTTTCCTGCAGATGACTGGCTTTCAAACAGTGGGATCCTCAAGCAATAAATACCTCTGTTTTACTAGTGAGTACACAACCTGTTTACGTCCGTGTCCGGCAGGCCCAGTTCTAACAAGCCACAGCCAAAAGACGCAGGAAACGTAGAAAAGTATCAAACCTCAGGGTGAAATTTTATCACAGCTCAGGATAAATGAGCAGTTTAACAAAGTTAAAAATAAATCTAAAGCAGATGAATGTCACACAGGCTGTTGCTTTTAAGCCTTCATTATGATGATTTTACGCCCACTGCTCATGAAAACCGAACTTTTAAAGATTAGAATATTAAATTAGTCCAACAAAAATGGAAATTAATTTACTACAGAACTAATGAAATATATATTGTAAAAAGACATATTGTATTGTAGATTAATAAATATGACTGGATGAAACCAGGAGTCATATCATATAATCCATCCATCCATCCATCCATCCATCCATCCATCCATCCATCCATCCGTCCATCATGGAATGAGCTAGCTCGAGCTCCTCTGCCTGGCTGTGTGTTTCCCGGATGGGGCCACCTGTGGAGCTGGTTGACAGTTTACTTTTGTATCTCTGCTTCTGTCTCCTTGAACCCCAGTCGGCCTCATCAGATGGCCACTCACACTGAGTGGTTCTGCTGGAGGTTTCTTCCTCTTAAAAGAGAGTTTTTCCTCTCCACTGTCCCTACAGGCATGCTTGGTGTGAGGGATTGCTGTAGAGTCAATTCAATCAACTGGTTTCCTTAGATAGAAAACCTTGTATCAATTTGACTGTATGATCTGGTTAAATTGTAAAGAGCCTTGAGATGACGTGTTGTCCATCCATCCATCCATCCATCCATCCATCCATCCATCCATCCATCCATCCATCCATCCATCCATCCTCACTCCACATTGGTCACATGACTCACCTTTGCTCTTTCTCATCCCAAATAGAAATCCCATGATGCTTTGTAAGAAGAGATCTTGCAAAGCATTCTGGGATATATCAGCTTGTCTATTGACCATGGGATGAACACTATTTTTCAAGGTGCATTGTGGGAAATTTGACAAGACTTTCAGACACTATATAAAATGGAGTAATCCCTATATAAAGCACTATATAGGGTTTTTACGAATGGCCTTCTTTTCAAATTGCGTTTACCAGATTAAATACGGATTTTGATCTAGAGTGGGAAGCAAGGAAACGGTTCTGTTGGTCTGCTGCACATCAGCAACAACGTTTTATTGATCAAGAGCAAAAGTTTGGATGTGGCTTGAAGTGAAGAGAATGTGATTTGTAAAACACACTTGAAAAAAATTACAATTTGTAAAACAATCTAAAAAACAAAAAGTTGCAAGTAACATAATTTCAGAAATATAGAATATCAAAGAATTTGAAAAACAAAATCTAGCAAAACAGCAAAGCGAACCTTTTTTGATCAAGAAGCTTTTCAAACCAAATTTGCATTTATGAAATGCAACAGTAATGGAACAAAATTCACTCCATCGATCTTTAACAATATTTGGGGATAATTAACTGCAACATTAGAAAGTCATATAACTTTTTAGCTTCCAAGGAGAAGATCAACAATGTATGGAGAGGATTTTCCTTACATTGCTTTAGTCCTGTTTCCCAGTACTACCATCTTTACTAAATATTATCTAGTTACACAGATGAGATTAAAGTATTTACTTATTTTAATATTTTTTCTTTTTTTATTAGCAGCTATTTGGTGATATTGGTAATGATCAGGAACCTGTGGTGTGTTACATGATCATTGAGTGTTGGTCAGGGGAAAGCACTTCCTGCAAAGCTCCAGAATCACAGCTGGAGAAAGGCCTCGAAGTAAAGCAGCGTTCCAAGCAGACAAGTGTGGGTTAGAAGAAGATCTACTTTCAGGGTCTGTGGTCACTTTGCTCTCAGTCCCCCAGAAACCCAAACCATCCACAGACAGCCCCATAACTCCATCAGCAGAGGGTCGGTTCTCTGGTTGAAGGAAGAACAGAGGCGTGGAAAAGGCCTTTACCTAAACTGGTCTTTTTGTCCCTTTCCGTTGCTCATACGGCATACTCTCATGCCTCGGACCAACACTGAGTTATATTTCCTAACTGTGTTTGGGGATCTTGGGTGTCAGTCATGTCAACAGTCACAGGGG